ATTGCTCAAGTGAAAGGAGGTTACATCAAAGGAGACCGAACAAAGCATATATCACCAAAGTTCTTCTCAACACATGATCTCGAGAAAGATGGAAAAATTGACATCAAGCAAACCAAGTCCAGTGAGAATCTCGCTGATTTATTTACAAAAGCGTTACCCCCGAAGAAATTTGAAGAACTCGTACACAAGATTGGCATGCGTCGCCTTCGTCAATTATGCTAAGCTGAGGGGGAGAATTTATGAACTGTACTCTTTTTCCCTTGATCAGGTTTTTATCCCACTGGGTTTTTCCTGAGAAGGTTTTTAACGAGGCAGTACATAAAATTAGAATGGGTTTCTAAACTATACCCATTTCACGAATATCCATCATCAATTGAAAAATGAACATTCAAGGGGGAGTGTTAAGAAAAATATGAATTGTTCATTTATCAATTAATTAGATCATGCTCCATCATAAGTTGCAGGAACAAATTGTCCATCATCATTCATCACCATCAAGTTGCCATTTGTATAGTATGTATACTATTTGTAATAGTGTTAGCACTAAGCCTCTCTACTATAAATAAGAGGCTTAGGATCCCTGTAAATTACCATTAAGAATAAGAAGAAGAGTGAAGAGTTAATAGAGAGAAGAAATCAGAAATATATTATATCTATTCTCATAATATCTGAGTAGTTTTTCTCTCATTTTACAACACATATGACTTATTTATAAATATGTCATCCCGTTTGTTCATTTTTTTCTTTCTTTTTTTATTTACTCATAAAACCTTATTTTAAATCCAATGGATCGTGTGGACTCGCACAAATCATTTACGGTAAGAATTCAAGATTTGGTATTTATACTCTTAATCCTAGCTCATTATTTTTTATTAAAAACAAATTCAAAATCTTAGTCCTATTAATATTTAAATTATCTCAACTCATAACTAAGTTATTGACTAAACTTCCTAAATACTCAATATAACCTCAATTCTGTTTGAAATCGAATTGGATGTGTCGTTATATTTACTTCCCAAAACTTCACAAAAAATAAGAAGGAAACTTCAATGCATCATTTTGATTTTGTACATTATTTAGCTCAACCTATAACATTATCAAACAGAGCTCTTTCACTAAAATGTACTTCCTCCATCCTAATTTATATTGCATATTCACTATTCACAGAGTCAAACTTCATTCATTTTCTTTCTCTATTTTCGTTAGCAATTTGATAAAATAAAGTGTTAATGTCACTACTAGTTTTGTAAATCTTTTGATGTAATATTTTAATATGTATTTTTTATTTTTTTAACTCTATACTATTTGTCATATAAAATGATTTGAAAAATATTTTCAGTCAAACATCTTAAATCGAAACAGGCATTATAAATTGAGACGGAAGGAGTAATTTATTAGGGTAATTATTATTTTTTCAAACTTGACAACAATTCATCTACTTTAGTGTTCTAATACACTTTCATGGGGCAATCCAAAATCAAACCATGTATGTTTTCCCAACTTGGATTATATTCATGTGAGGGACTCTCAAAGTTGCAGCCCCACCCCTGCAGTTCCTCCTCAGGAATGAGTAGAAGTAATTGATTGATAGTTTCTTGAGGAACCAAGAGCTTTTCTTCGCCCTCACGTCCGCGTGCCCGAGCAAGTACGTAAAACCCGATTCGGTGGCTTCGCGCAGTGCGATGAGTTCATACTCCAACCCGGGATCTTCATCCGCTGACATGACACTAGCAGGCAATAACAAGTTCCCAGTTTCTTGGAATCGGTTGCGATCGTCCTGCATCAATGGAGCCTTTAGGTCCTCTATTATTGTGTTCCCGTCTTCGGATGAGGACTCCCTCGACCTCACGGACACGTCATCGGTCTGGTTTGTGATGCTGAGGCTCTCAAGGGCAAGTTCTTGGGACTCTTTCCTCAGGAACGTCTCGAGGCTGTCCAGAAGGAGTTGCTCAAATGAGTGGTGGTCTTCTTTCCTGACATCCTTGTAACCGTACCGGGCAACGCATCGGAACATGTGGTAGTCCTTGGGGCCCACCCTTCGGAACAAGAACCTCTCTTCCTGGGGCACGACGGGTACTTGGACATATTTGATGCAGACGAAGACGATGATCGAGTGGATGGCTGGGAGGTCGAGCAAGAACTGTATGAAAACCGAGGGAATGCCTTGGACCAGTTCGTTGTACAGAAGTCCAATCCCCGGGACCCGAACTGTCCCAAGGGTAGAGCCAAGGTCATTCATGAAATCTAGTGATATCCTCTGCTTGAACTCGACCTGGTACTTCAACACGCTCCCGTAGTTCCAGACATACATCACAGAGAGGAAGAGAGATGCGAAGGCGAGTGGCAGCCAACCGCCCTCCAGGATTTTTGAGAGGACAGCTGATAAGTACAAAAGCTCTATTGACCCAAACACCAGAGGGAAGCAGAGAGCCAGGTACAGATTTGTTTTCCATATCAAAAGCATCACTAGGGTGACCATTATGGTGCTGACCAACATGACCCCAACTTCAGCTAACCCTGCAACAAAGACAATAACAAGCCTACTAACACATGATTTATGAAATTAACATAAACATATTTAGTGAACCGCTTTGGTTCTTTTGACGTTGGCCACGAATGTCATAATATGACATTGGATTGGGTCCATTTGAGGGCTCTACGGTGCTCCGTTTGACCTCAAAGTGGTCCCTGCTCCCCTCATAAACCCCCATCCCTTAGCACGCCCCTTGTACCCTACCCTACCACTAGCCAGCCCCCCTCTTTTAGGTCACAATCAACCGGGGTGTGGTGCAGGGGGCGGACTAGGGGTGGGTGGGGTTTCACCTAAATGGGTGCTCTATCACGGTCCCACCATGATAGTGATTTGTAGGCAAATGTGACCTTGCATTTCTGCAAAAAGCCGTTTCTAGGACTCAAACCCGTAGTGTCAAAGTCACACGGCAACGCCCCAACCGGTGAGCAAAGAAACAATGATGGACAAGAAGGAAGTAATTAGAGCAAGGATAGAGTTAGGGATTTACCGTACGCATTTGCTATGTGAGTTGTGCTTCTGAAAGCAGCAACCACAGCCATGCACATGATCATCAGAAACCAATTAACTACAGGAATATAAATCTGACCCATGTGCCTTTTCGAAGTGTGAACTACCTTGAGTCTCGGGAAGCATCCAAGAGCCATCGCTTGCTTAACACATGAAAACGAAGCGGATATCATGGCCTGGCTAGCTATTATAGCAGCAAGCGTGGCTATCACAAAAATTGGCCAGAAAATCCCGTCTGTTTTTTCATGATTACCCAAGTGTCAAACGAAGTGCATATATGCTTAAAATCATTTCTTCTTTTTTCCTAATAGAATGAACAGTGGTGGGATATTACCGGGCACGGAGGAATAGAATATTGTGCTGGCCGAATTAGGATGTTTCATGAGATATGCAGCTTGGCCAAAGTAAGCCAAGAGAAGGCAGGGGAAGACCGCACCGGTGAAGGCAATCTGCAGTGGTGAAGAAACGTAAAAAGTAAATAAAAAAATGTTAGCAGTGATGGAAGTAGTGTTGAAGGTGAATGGTTGAAAATGGAGCCGAGACTTGACACAATGTAACCTGTATAGATCTCACAGAGAAGTGACCTAAATCAGCAAACATTGCTTCAGCTCCTTCACCCCGAAAAAGGACAGTATATCAATAGTGTATACAATATCAGAACAAGCACACCAAATATTTTTTTCTATTAAAAATTTAAAGTAGATGTATAAAGTATAATAAGAGATAATAATAACAATAATAGTAATAATAATAATAATAATCCGTAAT